CTTTTAATAAACAGACCCTCACCTGTCCCAGGATCCAGCGATGTGCTCACCCCATCCGTCCCCGCCCTCTGAAGTTCTCCAGAAATGCCTGCCAAGCACCTGACTGCAAAGTGGCTACTGAAATCTAGAAGTTATAAGTATTGGTTATATCCCGCCTTGATTACTGCAACTCCCTCCTCACTGGTCTACTGTTACACAGGCTATCCCCCCTTCAGTCTATTATGACTGTTGCTGCTAGACTCATACACCTTACCAACCGATCAACGACTGCTGCCCCTCTCTGCCAATCCCTCCACTGGCTTCCACTAACCCAACGTATAAAATTCAAAATACTAACCACAGCTTACAAAGCCATCCACAACACTGCCCTTGGCTACATCACCAACCTCATCCACAGATACCGCCCAAATCACCTCATAAAATATCTTCCTCACTAGCTCCCTCATCACCTCCTCCCACGCTCGGCTCCAGGACTTCTCCAGAGCCTCTCCCATCCTCTGGAACTCCCTACCACAGTATGTCCGGTGAGCCCCCACCCAGTCTGCCTTTAGGCGATCTTTGAAAACTCACTTCTTCAGGGAAGCCTACCCCGCCTCCACCTAAGAACTGTACTTCTTCCACCGCCACCTCCGCCAGATCATTCCCCGCAGTTATCACCTTTTGTATCACCTCCCCTCAGGGGTGGACTGACAACTCATGGGCCCCCGGGCAATAGGGGGAACATGGGGCCCCTGTGTCCTTGCCCACACTCAAACCACACCTAAAAAAGCCTATGAAAGGCACCAGGAACATCTCATGGGGCCCCCTACTGACCCCGGGCCCTTGGGCAATGCCCGGGTTCCCCAATGGTCAGTCTGCCCTGCCTCCCCTTCATTTAGTGTGTAAGCTCCACGAGCCGGGCCCTCCTATTCCTTTTGTACTGAAATGTATTGTAATTGTACTGTCTCCCTTATATTGTAAAGCGCCATCAGTTGGCGCTATATAAATCCTGTATAATAATAATATATATTTTATATAAAGTAGAAGGATAAAATTGGTGCCATTGCTGAAAAACGTTATTGCTATGGCCTGATGATATAGAGATTCAGGAAAAGAATCGTATTCCAATGAAAAAAAAAAAAAGTTCTAAAGAGTAGAAGCTCCATGTCTGGAATAGTGAGCATGGTACAAGAGTGATATGTGAGCCAACGAGCCCATGGCTACACCCCGGAGAGATGATGATACCTGGAGTCGGGGTGGACTAACCATTCCGGCACTGCCCAAAGGCCCGGGGTCAGTAGGGGGCCCCATGAGATGCCCCTGGTATCTTTCATAGGCTGTTTTGGGTGTGTGTGAGGACACAGGGGCCCCATGATCCCCTATTACCCAGGGGCTCCTTGAGTTGCCAGTCCGCCCCTGCCTTGAGTACTATATAAGAGAGAGAAGTGCAACCAGAAATGGGCCTGACGTCCAGAAGAGAATGGTGGTGACCTTTTCCTGTAGAGGCTGAAGACAAAGAAATGGAATACAGAATGTGGAGATACCAAGGAGTTTGCCTTGAGGAATGTTCAGTTATTTATTTATTTCAGGTACTTATATAGAACCATCAATTCACACAGCGCTTTACATATATATTGTATATTCACATCAGTCCCTAACCCTCAAGGGGCGTACAATCTAAGGTCCCTAACTCACATTCATACATACACATATTAGGGCCAATTTAAACAGGAGCCAATTAACCTACCAGCATGTCTTTGGAGTGTGGGAGGAAACCGGAGTACCCAGAGGAAACCCACGCAGTCACAGGGAGAACATGCAAACTCCAGGCAGGTTTTGCCGGGGTTCAGTTGTCACCTTCCACCTAGGCAGGTCCCCAGGAGCATCTTCCAAGCATAAGTGCATTAGAGCAGCATTAGGCTCCATGCACACGGGGCGTTTTGATAGCACTGTATAAAGTCACGTTAAAAACATGAGTTCTTCAGCTTTTTTTTAGCGTTTCTGCATGAGCGTTTAGCGGCGTTTTCCCACGTTTGCGTTTTTTTTTTTGTGTTTTTTTTTTTCTTCGTCAAAATACATCCAAAACGTTTTTCAGCATTAGAGTGTTTTTACAGCTAAAAAACTCCTCTAGGAATCCACTAGTTCTGGGTTTTTTTCCAGCCAAAAAACGTTGATTCCAGTCTATGTGTGTATGGACACATAGGATAACATGCTGGGGGGTTTACTGGCTGTAGGAAAAAAAACAACAAAAAGGCAAAAACAGCCGCTGTAAAAATGTCAAGAACTTAAAGTGGAACTACACCCGCTGATTTAAAGGCTTCCCAGAATATATTGGATATATTATATTCAAGGCATGCTGGGATTGATAACTGTCACATTTGCCTGTGCTCTCAACCAGGGGCGGACTGACCATTTGGAAACCCAGGCACTGCCCGAGGGCCCGGGGTCAGTAGGGGGCCCCATGAGATGCCCCTGGTACCTTTTTCATAGGCTTTTTTAAGTTTGGGCAAGGACACAGGGGCCCCATGATCCCCTATTGCCCGGGGGCCCCATGAGTTATCAGTCCGCCCCTGCATGCTATATTACCAGTACAATAAATACTATTATGGCAATACCAGTGGTGGGAATATAATAATTTCATACCCAACACTTCATGCACTGAATGTTCTAGTGTCTAATGACAATACATGAAATTGTTAGCAATATAAAACCTGTGACAGCATTTTAATGCCAAATGCAAACAACCCAACTATAGGCAAATACATACACAAATAATGTATATCTACAATATGCACAAAAAAAAAGGATTTTAAGCTTTTACAATGTATACATTATAATTAATTATACTAGATTAGATTATTGGGCTGCTGATATTAAAAATATTGAAAAAAAAAAATGAAAATAGAATTTGACTAAAAAAAAAAAAGTTATAGCCTTTCTCCTATGTCTTTTGAAGGCAATGAATGTATCTGAAATCAAAAGGTTAATTAATTTTACTGGAGACCAAACAAGAACACACCTCGGTGATGCAAGGATATTAGTCATAAAAAAGACTAATTAAATATACTACCGGTTTGTACTGCCGACCGGGAAAAGTACTTTTTATTTGGAGTAAGTCCTCACAGTTATAAGTGACTTTTATCAAAGGAAGGAAACTATTTTATTTACAACAGCTACATTATATTGAATCACTGAACCCAAAATTGGTAATTCAGTTTTCTGGCAGATGCTTGAAAGCTCATTTAAAAAGGATAAGAAATTTTTTATATATATATATATATATATATATATATATATTATATATATATATATATATATATATATATATATATATATATATATATATATATATACATATACACACACATATATATACACATACACACACACACATATATACACACACACACACACACATATATATATATACACACACACACACATATACACACACACAACATATATATATATATATTCATATACACACACACATATATATATATATACACACACACACATATATATATATATATACACACACACGTCTTGTGGATATATATATATATATACACACACATATATATATATATATATACACACACACATATATATATATACACACACACACACTCACATATATATATACATACACACACACATATATAATAATATATTACACACACACATATATATATATATATACACACACACATATATATATATACACACACACATATATATATATACACACACACACATATATATATATACACACACACACACACACACACACACATATACACACACATATATATACACACACACATACAGTATACATACATATATACACACATACATACATACATACATACACACATATATACACACATACATACATACATACATACATACATGCATGCACACACATACAAATTATATAAATTAAATATATACAAATAATAAATGCAATTTTTTTTTCCTGCAAAAAGATGTGCATTTATAATATATATATATATATATATATATATATATATATATATATATATATATATATATATAGCACACATTTTTTTGCAGGGAAAAAAAAATGCATTTATTATTTTTATTTTTTTTTTATTTGAAGCCTGTAAAGGATTGCATCCGTGATCAGCAGATCACAGGTGCAATGCAGGACTCCTGCAGACTGTCGTTGAAGCAGTCTGCTCGTACCGATAGAAAGCATCAATGAGTCCTAGAGCACTCAATGGTTTCACGCTGTTGGATTTTTAACTTTAGTTGGAGGATCTGGAACATACCAAAAAGGTGGGCAAGAACGCCCAAAACTCAATTTATGGCAGGGCGACCTCACTGTTGGAAATACCCATGAGAGGACAGGGCTGAGTTCAGCTATAGACTTCCTTTAGATTGTAAGCTCCACGAGCAGGGCCCTCATATTCCTTCTGTACTGAAATGTATTGTAATTGTACTGTCTCCCTTATATTGTAAAGCGCTGCGCAAACTGTTGGCGCCATATAAATGCTGCATAAGAATAAAAAAAAAATCTCACTTTTTTTGGTCGCTCACCCTTCAAAAAGTAAATTCACTCAATGAGTGGAAATGTTGCAAGACCTTGCATTCCTAGCTGCCCTTCTATCTCTGATCTTTGAACTCTGTAGGGGTTTCCCAAACACATGTATCAGAAATTCTTATCAGTTTCAGACCTGTTGCAAAACCTCTGTGACAAAGTGTAATTTTAATTTCTCTGGTAGCTCAGAGAACATAAAACAGTTGATTTGGGAAGCAGCTCCTAAGACGTCTCGTTATATCATTCATAAAGAATAGATTTATAAAATCATGATGTATTGGTATAAAACCCGTTATATTACACTCTTATAATAAAGCAATTTTAGAGTTTTGCTGGGGATGCAACGGTGAAAGGGGAACTGTCGCTCATATTTTTTGGTTTTGCCCCCAAATTAAAGTTTCGGACCGCAGTGCAGAATGTTCTAGAGCTGGTCCTGGAGGTTACCCTACCATTGGATCCTTGATATTACCTCCTAGGGTTACCTCTCTCTGGAATTCCTACACATTCTAAAAGAGTGTGTGTATCTCTCTCTCTCTCTATATATATCTCTCTCTCTCTCTCTCTCTATATATATATCTCTCTATGTCTGTCTGTCTGTCTGTCTCTATGTCTGTCTGTCTGTCTCTATGTCTGTCTGTCTGTCTCTATGTCTGTCTGTCTGTCTCTATGTCTGTCTGTCTGTCTCTATGTCTGTCTGTCTGTCTCTATGTCTGTCTGTCTCTATGTCTGTCTGTCTCTATGTCTGTCTGTCTCTATGTCTGTCTCTATGTCTCTGTCTGTCTCTATGTCTCTCTGTCTGTCTGTATCAGCTGCTAGAAGACAAAGGCTCCACGTACACTGCAGCTGATAAATTCACATTTAGGATCTTTTCTGCATTTTTTTTCCAGCAGCCCCTGAACTCTCCCTAATGTTTCCCTATGTGTCCATGTACACATCATCGTTTACAGGCAGTTGAGTTTACAGTCGGTTTTTGGAGCGCACCAAACTTGCGTTCAGGAGTAGATTTTATCAGCATTTCAAATGCGTGCAGGGGCGACTGACCATTTGGAAACTCAGGCACTGCTCGAGGGCCCGGGGTCAGTAGGGGGCCCCATGAGATGCCCCTGGTACCTTTTTCATAGGCTTTTTTTGAGTTTGGACAAGGACACAGGGGCCCCATGATGAGGGCTACTAAATGGTGAGGGCATGATGAGGGCACTAAATGGTGAGGGCTGGTAATATGAGTGCACTCACCAGAAGCGCACTAAATGGCGAGGGCTGGTAATATGAGTGCACTCACCAGAAGCGCACTAAATGGCGAGGGCTGGTAATAGGAGTGCACTCACCAGAAGCGCATGGGATATGCGCATATATAAAAGTATCCAACAATGGTCATCAGGGTCTGGGCAGGGGCTGCGGGGTCATCAGGCACATTCCAGGCACACAAGGCAACTCCACTCCCTCACAGGGCACACTCAGCTCCTAGGGACAGCTCACCATTGTCATCAGACCATCCAACCAGGAATACCACAGGGATAGCTCCACGTAGGTATCGAACCACCAGGACAGAAGCATCAGAGTTTGGGGGATATCTCCACCTTAGGGGCTCGCACAATATGGGCCAGAGACAAATAGGTGCTAATAGTGTAGTATTTTTTTATTAGAGTAGCAGTGAAATTTGATAGGAAAGCACTCACATTTGGAATAGAAACAGGTAAAATGGCTGCTGGCCTTCTTGACGGCCGCATGCGGCGTGACGTCACTCTGGTAGGCTCCTCCCTGCCGCCTTTCGTGCACCAGCACGTTATCAAAGGGATGCACATTTAATGCATAATTGCATTGGGCCAGCTTGGACCGATGTAACCGTGCATATACCACACCTGGTCAATGCCCACGGAAGCTGGAAATGACTGACGTAAACACCGCGAGTGATCTCCACTTGTTTGCCCTGCTGCATTCTGAACATAGCAGGTAGGCAGCTTGGCACAGGTACTATACGGAGAATGCGTTGCATTCTCTCAATGAATGCTAAGCGTTCTCTGATTGGATGAGGTGGAGCAGTGATGTCACGCTCTCCACCTCATCCAATCAGAGAACACTTCGCATTGAGAAGATGCAAAACATTCTCTGCATGGCACCCATGCCAATTGGCTGACTTCAGAAAGCAGGGGGGCTCAGAAGCAAGTGGAGATCACTGGAGTAGTGGTGTCTAGTACAGCGATTTCCAGGGGCATTTATCAAGTATGGTATATGCATAGCTACAATTATCCATGCTGGACCAATGCAACTGTGTAAAAAATATCCTTAACTAGAACTTATCTTTGTAGCACCTTCCTAGTTTAGCTACATAGTTACAGAGTTACATGGTTAGTCTGGCTGAAAAAAAAAGAAAAAAGACAAAAAAGTCCACCCACTTCAACAATTATAAAAAGTTATAATCCTACACCCACAGTTGATCCAGAGGAAGGCAAAAAAAACCCCCAGCAAAGCACGAACCAATTTGCTCCTGCTGGGGAAAAAATGTCTTCCCTGGATCAACTTTACCTATAATTGTTAGTATCCAGTTATATTCTGTGTATCCAAGTAAGAATCCAGGACTTTTTAAAGCAAGGGGGAGCGAGAGAATCCTGATCGTCAGAGAGGAAGGCTGAAGTAGAAGCCTGGGTGTAATAGCCAGAAGGTCAAATTGTGGTCAAGAGCTGAGAGGCTCTGCTGGCTGGCCCCTGTGGAATTTACCCCTGCTCTAGGGCTTTGGAGGAAGGCCCTAGAGGCAGTGGGTGGATATTAGGAGTAGCTGACTTGCAGTTTTTAGGGATCCTGGCCAGGGGCGGACTGACCATTTGGAAACTCTTGCACTGCCCGAGGGCCTGGGGTCAGTAGGGCCCCATGAGATGCCCCTGGTACCTTTTTCATAGGCTTTTTTTAGTTTGGGCAAGGACACAGGGGCCCCATGATCCCCTATTGCCCAGGGGCCCCATGAATTGTCAGTCTGCCCCTGATCCTGGCCAATCCCCAACAGGAGGTTGGAAAAGGTCCAGGACACCCTTAAAAGTGTCAGAGCCTACTCAGCTGCAGGAGAGTTCAGGTGGAAGACAGTGAGGAAGCTGTGATGCTGAAGGCAGGAGCTGGAAAGGGAGAAGCTCAGACTTTCACTGGCTCCCAGAGAGAGGACCACTTGTATGGCAGGAAAGGAGCCGCCCAGCTAGAAAAGCCTAGTAGCAGCCACCTACCCACCAACGGTACAGAAGATAATCTGAGCGAGTACCCCTGCACCCCCTGGGAATAGTGAAGGAAGCACTCTGGTGGGAAACCAGATTAGCTGCCTAATTGGGGCTGTCCACTTTCAAACTAAGACACCAGGCCCCTGTTCAGGGATACCTCCTGATTGCTGGGTGAAGAAGAGGAGTTCATCTAGGGTCTGGGATGGTACATTAAGGATAGGTTCACATCTGTCCTTATCGCAAAAGGGATCCAAAATCTCATTCCATTCATTAATTTAGATGCACATAACACCAGTGGATATTGTTAAATTAGCTTTTTCTCTCGGTGGGTTGGAGTAGCATCTAAAAATATCACATCTTTCCAATTTGAAGCCATCTAAATTGATAATATATTGAATATATAGCAGTCTTCTAGAAAACCGTCAACATTTTTTGAATCTACCCGGACCAGCGAATATACGAAACGAATGCCGAAAACAAAAATCGGTTCGACATAAGGAATATGACAAAACAAAATTCTTTCATTAACAAATGCGTCCGAAGCTAAACCAAAATTTTTGGTGCACACATGTATGAGCAAGCAACTCACATATCTGCTTGTCCCGAGAACAGAAGAAAAAATGTTTCTGTTGTTGCTTAAGGCTTCTACATTCAATTGCTACCAGGAAACAGATACCTATCAGAGGGTATATGACCTGCACAGTTCTCTCCGTGTTATGAGCTCGTATGCACCTGAAATATGTTGGCCCTGTGGACAGTGGTATATTTAGGTTTTGCGCTGCCCTAGGCAACACAAAAATTATCTGCCCCAATGGACACTGACCAACACCTCCCCACCTTCCCCCTCCTGCAGAGAGAGACTCCCCCTTCCCGGTAATAGAAAGAAAGACACTCCTCTTCAAAGCTCCAGGCATCCCTGTGAACGGGAGTCAGGCTCTACATACACCATCAAGTAGCCTCTCTTGGATCCCACCTGGTTCCCATGGCACACGTGTCCCTTCTTTCATCCCTTCTTCTGAGGGGAGGTGCTGCCCCCCCTGAAAAAAATGCCGCCCTAGGCAAGTGCCTTGTTTGCCTTGTGGTAAATACGCCCCTGGCTGTGGATCTCCAAAAAAGGGGACGTGTTTGCACATATTCTGGCTGCATTCAAAACTTGGGACATTTGGTGGTAATGTGGTAAAGAACACCACCCAGAAATTTACTGATAGGCTAGTTCTTTTAGATCCAGCATTCTCTCCACTTCACCACAGCATTTTCCAACGTAAATGTTTAAAAAAAAAAAAAAAAAAAATAGATCTTTGATTTAATTGGTGAGTGCAGCCTAATCTTGTATCCTGGCACTATGGCCAAGCCTGGATCCCTGCATGATTCAGATATAGTTCCAACAGATGATAAATGATACTTAGCAGATGGAAACCCTCACCGGCCCTATCAAGGGATCCTCCCTTTTTTTTTTTTCCCTAAATCTGGTTCTACTGGCTCAAATTTACAAACTCCATAGAATATGGAGCCCTTCTGTGCTTCTCTCATGACATCCAAATTCTGAGATATTCTCCCAAAGAAAGGACATTTTAATTACTACTCTATGGTCTGGGTTGATGACACAGTCCTCCTGCTCTCCCTAATCTTTGTTCCCTCTATACCCCCCTAGTATTGTTCCCTGGGTGGGGACCCTTTCCCTTATGAGGACCCAGATTCCTCCATCCATATCAACTCAACCGCTCCCTTAGGCTTCTGGTACAGTGCTGCTCCCAAACATGAGTTTTTGCTTTTGCCAAAGCCCCTGAACTCAGCTCAGTAAAAGCCTACGTGTCCACGTACACATAGGCTTTTACTAGAGTTTAGGAGCAGCAGAGTTTAGGGGCAGTTAAACGTTCCTCTTCTGAACGCAGAATAATCGCATTCAGAAGAGGAACATTTTGGCCAAAAAATGCTAAACGCTGCAAAAACGCAGATAAACGCTAGCCGAGTTTAGAGCTTGGGTGTTTATCCATGTCAGTGAAAAACACTCTAGCCAATCAAATAAATGTCCAAGTGCTAAATGTACTACCACGTTTACACATTTTTCATCTGTGTGCTGCCTGGAGAGTTTGTCTAGGTGAGTTCATGTGTACATGAGGCCTTACTTGTTTCCCCCAAACTGACCCTCCTCTCTGAACCCTTATTCCCTCATTACCAAGATAAGAGAGATGGAAGATGCCCGGTGTGAGATGAACTTCACATTCTAAAAAAAAAAAAAAAAAAAAAAAAGAAGCTCCATTAGCCGGAAACCTGGCTTCAAGCATTAGATTCTGCTTCTCCTGCAGCACTTTCCTATGGATGCCTTCTCTGGACCCACTCACCCAGACCCAGTGGTCGGAAAGGACGTGGAATTGGTTTGCTTCTATCCCCACTGAGCACCTTTCAAGTGCTCCCTAACCCTCCCTCTCTATCCTTCTCTTCTTTCGAGACTCACGGCATTTGGCTGTTTTCATCCATTTCTCGGAGGACTGCAGTGATCTAAATCGGCCTCCTGGACCTGTGTCCTGCTTTCTTGAGGATTTCTCTGCTTGGCTACCCTTCATTCTCTCCTCTGAAATACCCACTATCATTCTTGGAGATTTTAACATCCCCATTAATGTGAACAACCCGGCTACATCCCAATTCTATACCCTAACCTCATCTTTTGCCTTAACACAATAAACACGGTCCTCCACTCACTCTGATAGGAATACATTAGACCTTGTTTTCTCTCATCTTTGCACTCCCTACAACCCCCTTTCCTCTCTCTGATCACAATCTCATCACCTTCACAGTGTCCTCGTCTTCAAACACCCATTCCTCCAAGCAGCAAACAATTACCCGCAGAAACCTTCACAACTTAAACCCTGCTCCTTTCTACTCGGCAACTGACCAACTCTATGACAGAATCTCTCCCCTGTCCTGCCCTGACCTGACCACTGCTGTCTACAACAGTTCGCTTTCATCCACACTAGACTCACTTGCTCCTCTAACTACATGAAGTATCAAACCCTGACCATTACAACCGTGGCAGACTGACAACACCAGAAATCTTAAAAGACATAGTCGTGCACTGGAGCGATTGTGGCGTAAAACCAAATCTCAGCAAGCATTCACCCGATATAAATCGGCTGTCCTAACATACAATTCCTCCCTCCATGCTGCCAAAGAAGCCTACGTTGTCACTCTTATTAATACTTTGTCATCCAATCCTCGTTGTCTCTTTATTTTTTAACTCTCTACTTTCTCCACCTCCACTGCTTACGAGATTGCAAATCATTTCAAAAACAAGATTGATGCAATTCGTAATGCCATCTCTGCTGCAGAGACATCTATCCCACTTAGCATACCTTATACTAAACCAACCTCAACACTTTCCTCTTTGGACCTTGCTACTACTGAAGAGGTCACTAAGTTTTTCCCAGAAGCCCGCCTCACCATCACTCCCATACTTAAAATGCCTTTGTTGGACCCCACCAACCTGAACAACTTAAGACCCATCTCCCTGCTCCCGGTTACCTCTAAACTCTTAGAACGCTTAGTCTACAATCGCCTGAGCTCCTACTTCACCGACAACAACCTTCTTGACCCTTTACAGTCTGGCTTTCGCTCACTACACTTCACTGAAACTGCCCTACTAAAACTCACTAATTATTTACTAACTTCAAAAACCAATGGCCACTACTCCATACTCTTACTACTTGATATCTCTGCGGCTTTTGATACTGTTGACCATCCCCTCCTCCTCAAAAAACTCCACTCTCTTGGCCTCCTAGACTCTGCTCTCTCCTGATTCTCCTCCTACCTAATCAGTGCTCCATCAGCATTACCTATAACTCTGTCTCCTCCTCTCCAATTCCTCTTTCTGTAGGGGTCCCTCAAGGTTCTATCCTTGGATCCCTTTCTCTTCTTCATCTACACCTCCTCTATCTTTCTACTCCTCACCACACCCCTTCAGTCTCCTCTCGCATTGCTAACCTACTAAGTGACATATCGGCTTGGATGTCACTCCACTTCCTCGAACTCAATCTTTCCAAAATGGAGCTCATTCTATTCCCTCCAGCCCATGCTCCCTCCCCTGACTTCTCCATCTAGATCAATATTTATTTATTTCAGGTACTTCTATAGAGCCATCAATTTTACTCAGCGCTTTTTACATATATATATGGTACATTCACATCAGTCCCTAACCCTCAAGGGGCGTACAATCTAAGGTCCCTAACTCACATTCATACATACACATACTAGGGCCAATTTAGACAGGAGCCAATTAACCTACAAACATTTTTTTGGAGTGTGGGAGGAAACCGGAGGCACAGGGAGAACATGCAAACTCCAGGCAGGTGGTGCTGTCATTGGGATTTGAACCAATGACCCTAGTACTGCCAGGCAGAAGTGCTAACAATTTAGCCACTGTGCTGCCCCAATAATAATACAATTATCAGTACATCCCCTCATGCCAGGATACTAGGTGTAATCCTAGACTCCCATCTGTCCTTTCAGCCCCAAATCCAATCACTGTCCAAATCTTGTAGACTTCACCTCCACAACATCTCCAAGATATGGCCGTTCTTAACCTCTGAAACCACTAAGCAACTTATTCACTCCCTTGTTATCTCTCGCCTTGACTATTGTAACTGCCTCCTCATTGGCCAATCTCATCGCAGGCTATCCCCTCTTCAGCCGATCATGAATGCTGCTGCCAGAGTCATCCACCTTACTAACCGTTCCATATCTGCCATCCCTCTCTGCCAATC